AGGGCATAGGTCCACATGGCGCCAGGACAGGACCAGAGCACTCATTTCCCAGCAGCCCCCCACTGTCCAAGCAGAGGCCCGGGTACACGGTGGCCGACCTGATCTCCCAGGGAGCAGTGCAGCCAGAGCTTGGAGACAGACGTCTGCAGGCTGAACGGCCTGGCCAGGCTGCCTGCCTGCCGGCTGGAGCGGACAACAAACAAGCCCTCAGGCGGCTGGAGCCCGGCTGCTCCTCTTCTGAATAAAGTGAAAGGGCCTTTATCTAGAGGGACCTCCCTCAAACAAAAACGCGCCCCAATTCCCCACGTCAAGTTTGCAGAAGCAAGACCGAGGAGCCTCTTTTCTTCCCACAGCAAGAAGCCCCTTTCACGCGGTCTTCCCAGGAAACCGCAGCCCCTGGGGGGTCAAGCGAACAAAGAATCAGTGCACGGCCACCGGGCGACGGCGGTTCCAGATGCACACTCTGCCGGGGACACAGTGTCACCGGCCACTAGAGTGGCCTCAAATAACCTACATGTCCCAAAGGTCAAGGCGGACACGGTTGATGAACCGGGTTGTGTAGATGGACGAAATCGTTACGCTTCCACTGTGCAGGAAGAGATGGAAGCAGGTCCCTTGGCCACTCAATCCCAGAATGACGTGCTAACAGCAGATAGCGACCCCACAGATTCAGTGTGATTTCAGGAGGAGAGCTGGTAGGAAATCAAATGTAAATGGGGCAGAGCCCAAGTCTTCAAGATGTTTGCCGTTCCCCGAGAGCTCAAGCAACCGGGGTGAGGGGTCTGCGATGCCTACAAAGCAGGGCGGCTGATTACCACGTTTCGTTCATTTGTGTAGTACAGGCTCGTTGGCTGTCACAGCTTCTGGGGGCACACTGGGTGGGATGAGGGAGAAGGGAGTGAAAACTCGCCTTCGGAAGAAAGGAAGACCCCTCCAGCATGAGTTCTTTCACAGCCACGTCAACCCCGACGAGACGGGGCTCCGTAATTCAGAAGCTTCCAGGGTGGAGTGGGGAGAGCAGCCACTTGACATGAGGCACGCATGCACAGGCTCTCCCTTGTGTGTGTAACGTCACGCTGCCCTGCGTCCAGTTTCATGGACGTGATGTCTTCAAAGAGAAGAGATGACCAAATACTGGGAGAACTGGAATCAGAATGGAGGGGGCTTCAAAAAGCTCACGGGTCATGGGGGGCGGGGGGAGAGCATCCTGCCCTCATTCCATTGTTCCCACCCGTTTTTGAAGCCCCACAGGCATGCTGGAGAGAAGGTAGAGACTGAGAAGTGGAAAGCGAAAATCCGAGATTTGTGCTATTAGTGGGTTAAGGCCAATCAGCATTCCTTTAATTTTTTTTTTAAAGGCAGAGCATGGTCTTCAAGCCTCCCACTGGGAGATTGAGTAGCTCATGGATTCTTGCTAAAGGAGAACACAAAAACTCAACTGCGCTGCGTGGAAGCTACAGTCTCCAGGGATCACCATCTGCAACCAACCTGGGGGCCCGAGTGTTTGTTCTCAGGGTGACA